AAAAAAAAAAAAAAAAGAAGGATGTGGCGAAAACCTCTCTGGAAATGAACCAATCAAGGTAAAGGATAAAGAAGATCTGCAACAATTACAAAGAATAAACAATTTGGCAGACTATTTGACTGAGTCTAGCGAGGAGTTAGGATTGTCTTTGGCTTTACTGGAAATGTAGGAAAACATTTTGGTTTCTCTCTTTGATAGACATTAAGTCTAAGAATTATGCAAATGTTAAGGTGTATGCAGTAATGCTTTCATAGTGCATCGCAAGTATCATTTGATACTGGAAGATGAGGGTGAAAAATAGATTTTTGCAGTGCAAATACTTAACATATTTTCTAATGGAAGTGAATGTTCCTCTCTTTATTGACAAAGTTAACCGCTTAATATGTATTTTTTTCTGGGCTTGCCTGATAAATGTAGCATGGAGATTTAAGCAGTCTTTACATCTTTTATCTCTCACTGATTTATCAATCTCTTTTTGGGTTGTAGAACATGGCATATTACAAGATATCACATGTTGATGGCCGAATTACTAATCCTGAGCAACGAATTGCAAGTGATGTTCCACGATTCTGTTCAGAATTGAGTGAGCTTGTACAGGACGATTTGACGGCAGTTATTGATGGTCTACTTTATACTTGGCGCCTATGTTCTTATGCCAGTCCAAAATATGTCTTCTGGATATTGGTAATTTTCCTGTTTAATATTGCATGTTTGAAAATTATTTTTTATTATTATTTTAGATTTTTGGAAGTGCTGTGCAATTAATTTCCCAAAGAGCTGCTGAATGCTGATAGCTAGTAGAACTGCTGCAATTAGCCATTCACCATGTCTGTTATTTTATAGGCTTATGTACTGGGAGCAGGGACTGCGATAAGAAACTTTTCTCCTGCTTTTGGGAAATTGACATCCAAAGAACAACAATTGGAAGGGGAATATAGACAACTTCATTCACGGTTAAGGACACACGCGGAAAGTATTGCATTTTATGGTGGAGAAAATAGAGAAGAGTCTCACATTCAACAAAAATTTAAAGCTTTGATTAAACACTTGAGTGTGGTTCTTCATGATCATTGGTGGTTTGGCATGATCCAAGATTTCTTATTGAAATATCTTGGTGCTACTGTTGCTGTTATTTTGATCATTGAGCCCTTCTTTGCTGGGCATCTTAGACCTGACACTTCAACTTTAGGACGTGCAGAGATGTTAAGCAATCTGAGATATCACACTAGTGTCATAATTTCACTGTTTCAGTCGCTGGGTACTCTCTCTATTAGTTCAAGACGGCTAAATCGGCTCAGGTAATGCTAGTAGGTTGTTTGTGACTTTATGCGGAATTGAGGAATTTTGTTTTACTTCTATAAAGTAAATTCAAGAAAATATCTGCTTATATTCCATATATTAATGGTCTTTTCCTTTTAATCCAATCCTGTAGAAGGTATTCACTTTCTACTTAAGTCATTAAAAGTCAGCAGAGTTAA